AAAGGAATGCTGAAGGAAACCCTTTTCATCCAGCTGGAAAAGCTTGTCAAAACAAAAATGTCTTCAATTGTTTCCGGAAAGTACAGATAACAGGCGCCTGTTGTATCTCAACAGGGATGCTGTTCCAGAAAACATGCCCTGATTGTCTTTTTACTGCCAGGGAAGGAGAGAGGTGCCTGTGTGGAATTCTGCCTCAAATGCCAAAATGACATGACTGGCCTTGAGTATTATGCACCTTGAACAGGTGAGGGGACAGAAAGCCATTTTGCTGCTTGGGACTACTTGGCCAACGGTGGGAAACTTCTTTAAAGCCAAGGACTGCATTGCCTTGTGAGCCGCATGCCAGAGGTGAGGCAACAGATGTGAGTCTTTATCTTTGCACAATAGGCTCCAGTCCAGCCACATAAAAGCCAGAAGTTTCTACACAGATCTCTCTCTCTCCAGGCAAGCAAGAAGTGTTATTACAGCTCAAGGACACATTCTAGCCAAGCCAAAGAACCAGAGTTGCATGTGGAGCAGGGCCAGTGAAGGTTGTGGCCTGGGAAGGAGGCTTCTGAGGGCCAGATAAGAGTGGCTTGGAGGGCCATCTTTGGTCCTCAGGCCCTTGGTTTCCTACCCCTGAACAAGGCACACTGCCAAACTTTTTGTTTTGTTTTTTTTACTTCCAGGCTGTAACTTTCCTTTCTGCTTTTTAGGTCAGGTACCTGGAGGGACTGCCTCCATTTGGGTCACAAAGCTGTGTCAGATTCTCCCATCTCCCGAGATCTATGGTTTACTTTTTACTCCCACATTTAGTGCAGATACATTTAAGGCCTGTGAATTTAGGTTAGACATTTTCTCCTCCCCAGAAGTATTCGTCACGCAGCCTTAACACCACAATTAAGTTTACTTGGCACAAAATAAAGGAGGGAAGGGCCCCTCCTGTAATTCAGCAGTTATACAAGGCAGAACTGTAGTATGTGCTTATTGTCTTACTTACAAGACTAAAAGGGGCCTGTGAAAGCCCAACTTCTACACAATTATTAAAAGGCATGGTTGCCAAATTTTATTCATCCACTGTAGCTGTTTCTTTAACAGCAGGGTTCTCTCTTTCTCTCTATCAAGATACAGGTGAGGATGTTTACTTCCATGCTTTGAAAGCACAGCTTAGGCACATCTGCTGCTATTAGAGATATAGGAGCAGGCCAAGTTATTCTCCCTCCCTCCATCAGTTGGCAACCTTAATTAAAAGCAAAGGAACCCTGTCGCCCTTGCCTTTGGGATTGGGGCAAGTTCTGTGGTGGGTAGCCTGCAAGTCCCCCAAAGCCTCATGTCATATTGTGACTTTTGATACATTCTACTTCAGATGAAAAAGGTGATGTCGTAGGTTCAGGCCATGAAGATTTAGAAAACTGGGGGACAAGCAGAATGTAGCTGAGGGAAAGGGAGATTCCTTCAGCTAGAAAGGTTTCCAGAGTACCAATATTCAGCAACTGCTAAAGGACCCTGAAGAACAACTGGATGAAAAGTTCTCAGCCTTAGATATTTTTGTATTATTTTAAAGCCTATCTTTAGTTACTTTTTGTACTGTTTTAACAACTATTAGCTGTTTTTATGCTATTTTCGTAAATCGCCTTGACATGTAAAAGGTCATAGATAGCACCCTGTATGTGCCCAGGTGGATCTGGACTGCTTGGGTGTGACATATTTGCCAAGCTGGCTGCTCTGTAGCCTGTCCTTGAGACTGCTAGTTTGCACAAACCCTGCCTGCTTAAATGCCTCATTCTCATCCAGAAACTTATTTTAGACATGGGGGTACCCACTTGCTCTCTGTCTGTTAATCTCCTATCCATTGTCCTTAAGCTCAATCTACTGCTGCCCTTCTCCCATTCCCTCTGGGTTTGGTGCTCCTTCATTCTCCCTGTTGTTGTTGTTGTTGTTTAGTCGTTTAGTCGTGTCCGACTCTTCATGACCCCATGGACCAGAGCACGCCAGGCACTCCTGTCTTCCACTGCCTCCCACAGTTTGTTCAAACTCATGCTGGTAGCTTCGAGAACACTATCCAACCATCTCTTCGTCTGTCGTCCCCTTCTCCTTGTGCCCTCCATCTTTCCCAACATCAGGGTCTTTTCCAGGGAGTCTTCTCTTCTCATGAGGTGGCCAAAGTATTGGAGCCTCAGCTACAGGATCTGTCCTTCCAGTGAGCACTCAGGGCTGATTTCTCCCTAAAGGTACCCCTGCCCGTACGGGCCAGTCTTGACAGACTCTAGGGTTGTGCGCCCATCTCACTCAAGAGGCCGGGGGCCAGCGCTGTCCAGAGACAATTCCGGGTCACGTGGCCAGCGTGACATCGCTGCTCTGGCGAACCAGAGCCACACACGGAAACGCCGTTTACCTTCCCGCTAGTAAGCGGTCCCTATTTATCTACTTCCACCCGGGGGTGCTTTCAAACTGCTAGGTTGGCAGGTGCTGGGACCGAACAACGGGAGCGCACCCCGCCGCGGGGATTCGAACCGCCGACCTTTCGATCGGCAAGCTCTAAGCGCCACCCTACTAATCCTTATATCAGGTCTAAGGAACTTTTGGTCCTCCAGATGTTGCTGAACCAAAATGCCCATCAGCCCTAGCAAGCAAGGTCAATGAGGGTTGTAGTTCAGCAACATCTGGAGGATCAGAGGTTGCCCACACCTGTCCTATACCTTATTGAAACTAACAAAAGTATGTGTCATTGGAATAATCACATGTTCTTCCCCTGCCTACTCATGCTTCCATTTCACCCTTTTAATGTTGCTTTCCTGTGTCTATTCTATGTTGTAAGGCCCTTGGGGTAAGGACTTGGCATACCTGCTCTTTGTAACATGTTGTGGACCACCCAAGGGAAAATCAACCCTCGCTCCTTTATCAAAGGGCTCACAGCTGTTCCTGTAAGCCTACAGTATATGGTAGATCTCAAATAAATAGCCAGTGGATTTGAGTTTACCTTACTAGACCCACTGCTTTAATCCACACTTCTGTCAGTTGTGTTTAATGCTCTGACCCCTAATTACGCTAATGAACTCCCAAAGGCATTGTAGGGAGAAAACCATACATCTTTTCACAGCAAATGCGGGCTTTGATTAAACATTGGCAGACTAGTCTAGTAGTTAAAGCTAAATACTTTCAAACAAACAAAGACTTCTAGCTTTTGAGAAGACACTGTCTCAAACAACTTATTTGGTTCGTTGATTCATTAACTTATACTGAGCGCCTTGAGATTGTTCAGCAACCTAGAAGTACAAAGCAGTGTTAATGCAGCACCTGCTCAAGTTTTACTCTTAACCTATAAGTTATTCATCCCCTTAGCCCAGCTTTCCCCAACCTGGTGCCCTCCAAATGTTTTGGATTACAAATCCCATCAGCCCCAAGTAGTATAGACATACTCATAGGAATTGCAATCCAAGATATCTGAAGAGGACCAAGCTGAGGAAGGCTTCTGTGACCACTAGAAAAAATCCAGCATTGCAGAAATTTCATACTGATCTCCATTGGAAGGGCCTCTAGACTATAAGAAGTTCTGTCTTGATACAACGTTAATGGGAGCCATGTTCATCCCCTCTCTCACATACTTACAACTCAGATTTCACTGCAAGTGTACATAAGATTGCAGTCTGAGTCCAACTGGGCTTATTTATTGGGTTTTCTTTCCTGGATTGTATGACAACAGTAATTGCTATGGCTGAAACCCACAAACCACTTAAACTGGAATGCTTGCATTTAAACCAGCACTGTTGCCAAGCCTCAAACCAAAACAGAGTAGTTGGAATGGGTTTTCTTTTCTTTAATCAGAATTTAGCCCTTGTAAAAAAGAAAAGTGCATTGGGGAAGGTGAACTTTGTTCTACATATATGTCTTAAACAGAATTAAGCCTTAATGATTTTGATGTTAACTTTCAAGTATGATACATGTTTAGAAGAGCAGCCTTATTTTCAAAACAGGCCCCAGACATTTTGCTGCCTGAGGCTAAATACAAGATGGACCAGCCTATTTCACATGCAAAAGCTGACCAGACTGACACCTACATCTCAGAGGTGGCTTATGCACAGTTTGTTAAAGAGTGCTTGGATGGGTGGAGTCCAGCACTCTGACAGAAATGCAAATCACCCCATCCCTTTTCATCCGATCAATACTTCAATAAAGGGAGATAGGGCTACAAACTCCCTCCTCAGCTGATCTACCTAGGATCAGCTAACAGGGGTGTGTGCCTGTAAGAGTGTAGGATAGCACACCCCCTCATGCAACAAGCCTCCTAAGAGTTTAGGATAGAGTGAATGTGGACCTCAGCCCAGAAAAAGGCTATCCCCCCATTGTGCTCATTTATGAGAATTATATTAAGATTTTGCTTACTGTATTATGCATATTTTATATAGCTGCCCTGTGGCCATTTCTTTTGTTAAGCATACCAATTGCTTTGAGAATGTTGTGCTTATGCTTACAGTATATCCTGTTTCTTGAAAATATGTAAAAAGGGTAAAGAATACTGAAAGCACACAAATGCATACATAAAAATGGGTAATCATCCCTTGCAGACTACCTGGGAGGGGGGCACGTGCTACTCACAACTTTGCCCTCCAAGATCTCTGCACTACAGTGTAAAAATGCTGTATTTTGGGACTGTGTATATGCTTGCATTGGGTACAGGAATATATGTGTGTGTGTGTGTGTGTGTGTGTGTGTGTGTGTTCCAACTATCTGATTCGTCTCTGGGAACACAATTTCGAGGTTTGGTGGAGCATCCTTTTAACCCTGCAGCCTGGCTCTTTCCCGTTTGTGCCCGCGCCTTTCCCATCTCCCCTCCTTTACGCTCCCGCTCGCCGCTCATCACCTTCCTCCCTGCTCAGCATCCCTGGTCCACGACCTCCCTCCTCTCCACTTTGCATAGCCCCGCCTCGTAGGGCGGAGCTGGGCGGGGCCACCGAAGACCGGACCCAAAGGCTGTACCATCGGATCCGGCGGCTTTCATTCTCTCCCCCCGCCCGCCCGCCCTCCTTTGGGTGAGTCCTCCTGCCTCCTGCTGCTTCTTGAGCCCGCAAAGGACACCGAGGCTGCTGGGGGCGAGCAGTTCCCCGGAGCGCCGGCTGCAGGGTTCCGCTGCTTCGCTTGGGGCCGGCGGCTGCGGTGGGGATTTGGGCAGCCGCCTCGGGCGGATCTGGGCTGCTTGCCGCTGAGCCGCGTTAAGCGAGTGGCGGAGCAGCTGCGGCTGGTTCAGAGCGGCTCTTTGCAGCGGGTCGCTTCGCGGGCGCGTCTCGCACCTAGGCGCCACCATCGCTGCTTCGGAGCCGCTGCAGCCGCGGCGGAAGCACCCAGGAAGGAGGTGGGTGGCTTTTTCTTCTTGTTCTTGTTAGGGATTGATGCGGAGGAGACCTCGCGTATTACCTGAAGAAGGGTCTAACACGTATGTTCGAGATCGTCTCCTAGGCTGTGCCTGAGTTATTCCCCCCCCGTGCGTTTTGCTGGACGCAAAAAGAGAACTTCCAGCGTTTTATTTCAGAAGTTGAGAAGGAAAGGCTAATGAAATGGCCTCGGGGCTCTCACCTGTGGAAAACCCAAAGGTGTGGGGGCATGTTTATGCAGACGTTCACACGGTCCGTCAACACGTGTAAGGAGAAAAGGATGGGGGTCCTCTCTCCCTCTTTCTGTAGGGGAGAGAAAGGGAGGAGTGGCACTCTGCACATCGTTAGAGGTGCTCTTGCCCTCATTGTGTTGGCTGATGCAGGGCAAACTGGAGTGTATTTGAGGCTTGAGCCTTGCCTCAAAAGAAGCCCCGCATGTAAGCAGACCTTATGGGATAGATTGGAGGCTCTGAGAACTGAAGTGGGTTGGACTAGATGACCCTCGGGGTTCCTTCCAGCTCTGCAATTGTATGGTTAGCGGGATCCAAATCCATACAGAAACAGAAAAGCATTCCTAAAGCTTTGCATTCATATAACGGAGCTCCAATGCGTTTGAGGCTCCGCCTTTCTTCCTTGGCTTCCTTAGAGTGTGGCTGCATATATGCAATAATGTGTGCATATTCATGTTTCCTTGGTGGCTTAAGGGAGTCCTTCTGCTATGGATGTTTCAATCTCTTAAGCCGTGGGCAGGTGCAGTGTACATTTCTCTCTCCCATGTGTGTTCCTGTTCCTATTGCATGCATTATTCTGCCCTGGTCTTCTGCATACCTCTGGTGAATGCATAGCAGTTATTTCCTGACAACCTTTTGCTATTTCCATTCCCTGCCTTCTCCAAATATCCACAGGAGGGAAATCGGGTTGGGGAGTGTGATTGAGGGTGTCGTAATGCCACCGCTGTGTTAGCAAATGAGGGGGATGCTTGCATGGGAGCTTAGAGAGGGAGGACTTGTGTGGGTGAGGCAGGGCAGAGATGCAGAACAGTTGGGGAAGGAAAAGGAGATGGGGCGAGATTTTGGAATTAGTCCTTTCTGAAAAATCAAATTTGAAAGTTATAAAAGGATTTTACATTCATGGACGTATGATTGTATTTTTATCTGCTTTCATCTAAGTTGCTGTCTTCAGTTGGAATAAGGTGACATTTGCAATAACATGCTCAGTTCTTTAAAAAAAAATATCATTCCCCTAAGCAAAGCAATGTTAGGAAGGGTGATGTATGAGTTAAAACTTAGGGATAGGTGGTGTGGAGACAGGGAAGAACCTCTTAGCTTCAGGTCAGCTATACAAGGGTTCTACTCCTTTGACACAGCTGCTTACTGATGTTCACTTTTAAGATAATGAGCCAAGTAAAGTGAATATACATGCAGAGACTGTGCTCCAACCTGTGTGTGTTTAAACTGACTTTATCAACATACCATGCATAGGCTCTGTTCATGTAATCCCTGAGCATGCCAGTGCATATATCGTTTGACTGTTTGCAGGATCCGTTTCCAAGGTCAATTGCATGTGCATCATTTGGGGACAGGGACAGCAGGTGTGATTCTAACACCACCACCTGTCACAAACCCAATATGTGGTCTGGAAAAGGGCTCTGTATTCCGTTCCTCTGCAGCTTTTTGAATTGTATATGATTGTAAGCTGCTTTGTGGGAGGGTATTTTTGCCTTTAAAACGGCAAAAGTCTGTTTTAAAAAACAGACTTGAATGTTAGGAACTTGCTTCTTCAAATAGGTTAAAAAGCTAAGGTTCTCAGTAAGGGCATACCTTTTCTGCATTAAATGCCAAATTAGATGTGGTATTAGGAAATATGAGCTGCACTGATAGTGTATCCTAATGTACAGTGTGTTTGCCTGTTCTGAGCACCGAATGGGCCTGTTAATGTACTCAAATCTGTCTCCTACACACAGTGATGATTAACTTGCGTTATTTCACTTGCACATTCACAGCTGATGAGAATCATCCAGTTGAAACTGCTGTGATGTCATTCACACTGGGCCTGGGCAGGCCAAGGCATTAGAGCCACCATGGCTGTCATCAGTTGCTGTGATGACAAAATGAGCTTTGACACCCTTGGGCCAGGCAGAGTACTGCAGAGGGTGCACTTGGGAGATGTAGCAATTTTATTAGGGGGGGGGGACTTGATGGGCAACTTTTGCTAAACGAAGCTAGATCTGCAGTTTCTGCATGCCAGAAATTTTGAATAACCCCCTTGCTTATGTAAATCAGTGAAGCTGGGTTGATGAGGGCAGGATAGCCAGCATGTTTCCATATGTAAGTGATTCCTACTGAGTGGGTGCAAGAATCAGAAGTAAGGATAAATTTGTGATGCAGGAAGCAGAGGGGGAGGTTGCAATTCAGAGAGTAGGCTATGTGCCCTCCCTTCCCTTGCACCCTTGACCTCCTGAAGGTATTTTGGTGATAGATGAGGTTGCAACCAACCAAATGGATAATCTAGTTCAGTCCTCCTACATGAAGGAGGATAAGGCTGTATATGTTAATCCTGGTGTACTACTTTGGGACAGGTGGCAGTTTAGTCCATTGCACGATTGGCTTTGGGTGTTATCACTTTGCAGAGTTTCCATTATCGCAGAGTGGCAGCCAATTTAGAGGTGTTTTTCTTCTTCTTTTTCCTTCTGCCATTCTTGTGCTTTCACTTTGCTTCACTTTGAATTTTCTTCCACCTTAACTGCGATCTAGGCACCATCTTGTAGTTAAGCAAAATGTGAGTGCTTTTTTATTTTTTAAAAAAATGAAATGGTGTTTGAAAAGTAGGGAATACCGAAGCATCTGGGATTGATTGCTCTATTGCAGTTTTCCACTGAGTCTCTCAAAGCGAAAATGCCAATGTAAAAATCTAATTTGGGAGAGGAAAGAGAGACTTTTCATGTCTTGGATGATGTATGTTGTCTCAGTACAGCATCTAAGCCGCATTAGGAACAATCCTATTAAAAAATTTCATTTAATGATGATGTTCATCATTTATATAGCACTTATGGTAATATAATAAAGTATGTTAGAATAGCATTTTCCTCAATAAAACACAATGAAATTTGCATCTTCTCTGGCCTTGTCACAGGTAGGATGCTAAAAACACAGGTGGACATTTATAAATGAAATAATAATTGCCTAACCTAGTGATGAGGAGAGCCATCCAAACTATTGGGAACTATTAATATTAACCACTCTCAGTATGTATAAAAAGGTCTTGGTTCTGAGTCACATAGGCAGGTTCCAACACCTTATTGTTGTAGTTACTATTTACTTATATGTCTTGCTTTTCCTCTAAGGAGGTCAAAGTAGCACATATGGTATCCTTTCGCCTCCCTCCCTTATAACTTTACAACAATACTGCGAGGTAGGTTGGGCTGATGGTTGTGAGTGGCCCTCAGTCATGCACTGAGTCAACAGTGGAGTGGAGATTTGAACCTCTCCCCCTGTGTTTTAGTCCAACCTAAGCTATGGGGTTGTTGTGATGATACAATGGGATAGAAGGGAGAACCAAGGGTGCCCACCTACAGTAAGCTCCCTGGGAGTAGGGTAGTATAAAAATGTAATAATTTCTCATCGCTTCTGAACTGCAGCACTGAAATGGCTGTTTCCATAAGGGTGCTGAAATATCTGTACAGCAGTACTCTCTCAATCAGCCTTGGCTATAGGAGCTGTCCTATTGGCAAAATGAGTTTGGATTTGTCTGCTATGAAAGCCATGTCTGTGTGGCCTGCCGATCTGTCACAGCAGTCGCGGAATGAGAGGTGCCTGTGAATTCACCCTTAAAACTACCTTTGGGAAATGGGGAGATGCCTCCAGGAAAATGTTGTTATGCCTCTGTCTGCCCTTGCTGTTTTCATTAGATGCACAAAGGGCTCATTTCTTGGTAGCTGCAATGGTGTGTGTGTGGTGGGTGGGGGAAATACTCTCTAAAACCATGGGTAGGCAAACTAAGGCCCAAACTAAGGCCCAATCTCCTAAATCTGACCCATGAACGGTCCAGGAACCATTGCGTTTTTACATGAGTAGAATGTGTCCTTTTATTTAAAATGCATCTCTAGGTTATTTGTGGGGCATAGGAATTCGTTCATTCCCCCCCCAATATAGTCTGGCCCCCCACATGGTCTGAGGGATGGTGGACTGGCCCCCGGCTGAAAAAGGTTGCTGACCCCTGCTCTAAACTTAAGTATGTAGGGCCCAAGCCACTCACAGCTTAACAGATCAAGAAGACAAGGATGACCCTGCAGCAAATGTTGCATGCAGATTGCTCATATTCCGGACACTGCATTCCATGCACCTTCTCTCCTCCCCACCCCCCCGCTCTCACACTAATTTTCCACCCCCTGCTTCTGAACAGACACTCAGCAACCTCTAGCCAATGAATCTTCTCAGATCGTCCTCATTGAACTGTTAGTGCTTTTTCCACCCTTGGGTTTCTCCCCCTAATTATTTCTTTTCTTTTTTCTCAATTCTGAAAACCTCAGGGTTACTCAAAGGCTTTTGCTTGTGTGAATGTTTTGCTTATGTAAGGAATCCCCACTTGGATAATGAGCTCACTGTTAATATTTAGGATGGTGATTAGAACCACAAAATATGTTTTTGCAAATGTCATGTGTGGTGCAATTCCTTGCATGCATACTTGGAAGACAGTTCTGCTTACTTCAGTGAGCCTCAGGTAAATGTGCATATATATTTATTATTATTATTATTATTATTATTATTATTATTATTATTATTATCATCATCTTTTAAAACACATTAGTCATACCTCGTGTTGCGTTCCGCTCTTGTTACAGACTTTCAGCTTATGAACGCGGCAAACCCAGAAGTGTTTACTTCTAGGTTCGCCACCTGCGCATGCGCAGAAGCAATCTACGTGCTTTGTGCATGTGCAGAAGCTCTCGATCGTGCTGCACACATGTGCAGAAGAGGCGCTC